CCGGGTTTCAACAGGCTCCGGGTGAACCTGCGGGTCCGCTCGCCGGCCATCGCCGGCCGCACCGCTGGCCCGGAGCGCGCCTCCCGCCGGCCTTCCCCACGCCGACCTCCGTACCCACCGCCGCTCAGGAAGCGGAACTCAGCGCCTTTCCGCCCCTCTTCCTCGCTCAACTCTCCAGAGGCGGGTTTTCCTCGCTTGCACCCCCACTCCCCCACCCCTTGCCTTTACTCCAGCTTCCGATGACTTTCCAAACTCTGCGCTCTGGGACGCGTGCGGCCAACTTAGCAGGCGGCCCCGGCCCGGCAGAGGCGCATCTGTAGCGGGGCCAGAGACGCGCGTGGGGCGGCTCCAGCCCGCGCCGCCCACCCGGCTCAGCTGGCGGGTCGGGGCTGCCCTGCCACCCAGCGGAAGGGCAGGCGGCGGAGAGGCTGCAGGGCCGTCGCCCCGGAGTTTGGGCGAGGCTGCCCACTTCCCTCATCCCCACTTGGATGCTGCTCACAGGGCTGGAGTTCTGGCCGCCTTCGCTGATGTGGCCTCTTAATTATTTTCCCGCGCTGGCGAATGGGTTCGGGCAGAACTCCAGTTGCCTTTCCACCGAGGGAAGCAGTCAGAAGCTCATTAAGGGTCTAGTGGCTAGGATGCCCTGCAGCATCGCCCAGGCCATCATTTGAAAGTCTCCTTTGCCCGAAGTTCTCACTCAAGGCTGTGAAATAAACTTCCAAATGCATTCATTAAGCTCCTAGGAGTCTGAATCAACTCCACGGCAACGGGCTTGGTTTGGTTTGGGTTTGTATGCTAGCTCACACTGTTAAGGGAACTGGGAATAAGGAGGCCAACTTGGCAGCCCACCTCAAGGCTCCTATGGGACTGATAATGTTATCTGGGGTGGGGTGGGGACGGACAGCAAGCAGCCAAGTAAACAAATAAATGAATACAAATGAAAGAACAAGTCAATTTCAGATAATAATAAAAGCTAAAAACAAAACAGTAAATCAGGGCCATGTGGTGTAAGAGACTGGAGGTGGGGCTTAGATAGGGTGAGTAGGCAAGAACTGACTTGGGGGGCTTCTAGATAGGGTGGCTGAGGTTTGGGGGTAGACTTATATTTGTGTCATTTTTCTGCTTCTACTGTTGCTGCACAGCCATCTGGCCTGCATTTTATCTCCAGCTATCTGATTAAAGTCTTCTAAGCATTCTCATCCTGAGTCACACCCAGAGTGTTCTCCAGCTCACTGTGGGTGGAAGTCCAGCCCTGGCCCCTAAGACACCAGTCTGAAGAGATCTGGGACAGCCTCTCCAAGTATTTTGGGTTTTTTCTTAAGAGATCTGTGAACTTGACATTTTTCCAAAGCCAATAATGCGGTTTTAACACAAAGTCATATTTGGGTATAAGGTATTCTTAAGTGACTGATAAATGCAGTCAAGTCAGTGCTCTACTTTCTGAGATTTATTGTTGTGTGGAGTTGACTCCAACTCACAGTGACTTCTGGAAATGTTGCCCAATCCGACACTGTCCTCACAATCGCCAGCATGTTCAAGTTCATCCTTGCAGCTATTGCGCCAATCCATAATAAGGAGGATCTCCCGTACCCTTCCTTGGCCCTCTAGTTCATCAAACATAATATTCTCAAGTGATTGATCCCTCCTGATGGTGTGCCCAAAGCAAGAGAGTCACAATATTCTGTTGCGATCCATAGGTTTTTCATTGGCTAATTTTTGGAAGTAGATGGCCCGGCCTTTCTTCCTAGTCTGTCTTAATCTGGAAGCTCCACTGAAACCTGTCACTATGGATGACCCTGCTGGTGTTTGAAATATCAATGGCATAGCTTTCAGAGTCATAGCAACATGCAAGCCACTACAGTAGGACAAATTGATTGGGCTTCATTACAACACGTATTAGAAATCGTCATCAGCAGAGGCACTGAATGATTTGGGAAGTGCCAGCTAAAACCATCAGCCAGTTCTGTGATATCCTACTTAACAAAACACTGCGTCCTGCATTATATTCTTTCACATTGGCATGCAATATGGGGCCAGTGTCAGCTTTAAGGCTAAGCAAAGTAGATGGTTGCCTATGTGTTGACATTTGAAGACCTCTGTGGAAACCCTGGTGGCGTAGTGGTTAAGAGCTCAGCTGCTAACCTAAAGGTCGGCAGTTCAAATCCACCACACGCTTCTCGGAAACCCTATGGGGCAGTTCTACTCTGCCCTATAGGGTCGCTATAAGTTAGAATCGACTCGCCGGCAGTGGGTTTGGGTTTGGGTTTTGGTTTGGTGGGAAGCAACCCCTCTGGTCCTACCCTCCTAACAAGCACACCCCTGTGGCCATGTCTTTAGATGCATATTCTCCTGGGAGAGAGAACACCTGAAGAATCTTTTTGAAAGAACTTGACCTTCCCAAGAGGAGGCATCTAGTCTTTCTCCCTAGTCTCAGAACACTGCCTGGTACACAGTAGGTGCTCAATAAATGTTAGTTTGTTAATGACTTTCCCTAGAGCTCAGATGGGGCTGGTGCAGTCAGAGAGCTTAGAGTGTCTGAAGAAAGGAAAGACACAGAAAGAAGAGAAACAGAAGGTTATAGTCATCGAAGATACATTGTCATGTGTCCTGGGTATGGCAACTCGCTGATCCAAACACTGATTAACCCTCACAACCATTCTCTAACCATAATGAGTAACCGGAAAGCACCTGCACTTCCTTTATTACTACTAGTCTTACTTTCTCAAGCTTCAGGGGTCTCCCAGAGCACTGGTGTGTGACAGTTGAATGAAGATGTGCGTATTTGTCCTATTAACCCCTGTGGGATGTTAATTCTGTGGCCACACTGAGAAGAGAGGATGTAGGTATATCTGCAGAACATTTCCCACCCAGGAAACTGCCGTAATAAGGCCCCAGTGGGACTCTCCTCAGCCCTTGAAAATCCTGTAGGTTTCAGTGAAATCCCCCACTGGGTGGGTGTCCCCCACTCCCACCTGGGCATAAATACACATTCTCTGTTCCAGAAACAAGACTTCAGAGCTGTCAGTTTGGCACTCTCTGACTCTCCTTCAGTCATCCATCTCTTGGTTCGCTGGAGAGACTTGGCTACGATGCTTTGTAAGGGCAAATCTATGAAAGTATTGTGAAGTAGGTTAAGTTTTGGGGCTTATATTTTTCTTGGACTCCACCCCCCACCTTTTTTTAATCACCGCATTCTTCACCCAATACTGCTGCATTCTGCACCTGGGCTTTTTCATTTTTAGAGATACCATTTGTCATGGATTGAATTGTGTCCCCCCAAAATATCTGTCAGCTTGGATAGGTCATGATTCCCAGTATTGTATGATTGTACCATTTTGTCATTTGATGTGATTTCCCTGTGTGTTGTAAACTCTATCCCTATGATGTAATAAGATGGATTAGTGGCAGTTATATTGATGAGGTCTACAAAATTAGATAGTGTCTTAAGTCAATCTCTTTTGAGATATAAAAGAGAGAAGGGAAGAGAGACACATGGGAACCTCATACCACCAAGAAAGCAGTACGGGGAGCACAGCGCGCCCTTTGGACCTGAGGTTCCTGCGCAGAGAATCTCCCAGACCAAGGGAAGATTGATGACACGGACTTTCCTCCAGAGCCAACAGAGAAAGCATTCTCCTGGAGCTGATGCCCTGAATTTGGACTTGTAGCCTACGGGACTGTGAGAGAATAAACTTCTGTTTGTTAAAGCCATCCACTTTTTGGTATTTCTGTTATAGCAGTACTAGATAACTAAAACACCATTATAGAAATATACCCATCCTGATCCCCACTTCACAAAGGACAGTTAATTAAAAAAGCAAATGAATCTTCAAAGGTTTCTAGTATTGTAGAATAGTGGTAGAAAGGACATGCTCTGGAGTCCAATTGCCTGAGTTCAAATCTCAGCATTACTTCTTCCATAGGCAAGTTCTTAGCCTGTGGTAGGAACAGTTAAGCACTTAACCACTAGCTGAAAGACTGGCAGTTCGAACCTACCCAGAGGTGACTCAGAAGACAGACCTGGCGATCTGCTTCCAAAAGGTCACAGCCTTAAAAACCCTATGGAATAGCTCCACTTTGCACACATGGGGTCACCATGAGTCAGAATCAACAACAAACCTCATTTTCCTGATCTGAAAAATAGGCGTAAGAATAGTTACCTGGGTGGAAGAGATCCTGAGAGGGTTAAGTGAAGTGTAAATTTTGTAAAAAGTGTCTAGCACATAGACTTCAATAAATGTTACTATCACTATGCTTTTAGAGAATTTAGGTTTTTTTTTGTTTTTTTTTTTTTTTTTTACGTCTTTCATGCCCTTTGATACCTCTAATTTTCTTAAGAACCTCTGTGATAAGCAGGACAGGTATTATCCATTTTACAGGCAAGACTGAAGATATCAAAGGCATTCTGGAGATGACGCCTTAATCCAAATCAAAGATTCTGGAATTTCAAAACCAACAATAATAACAATATAATCCTTATATTGTAATATGAAGTCATTATTAGGTAATAATGTTTAATAATAACGTGCTTCAGTCTGGAAAGTAGTTCCACATACACTATTTTTACTTGAGTATTAATATATTGTAAATTGGTCCTCAGACTACTTATCCTATGCCTCATTGTCTCTGAAATTCTAGATAGCTCATTAAGGAGGAAGCTCCCAATTCCACGGATCAGACATTTTAAGAATCAGTGGTAGCAAATTTCGCTCAATAACCTCAAATTCCCAGCTGTGATGTTGTTCTGTGTTTTCTAGTGTTTAGACTACATAAGCTGCAATGAAGTTTTATCAAGTTCTAATTCTCCTCTTCATTTGAATTGGCATAGACCAAACCCTTATATCAGAAAGAAAGAACACCACTCAACAAACAGGAGTGGAGAATCAGCTGTGGATAGGATGTCATGCTATGCCATAAGGGCACAAAGCTAAGCAAATTGTCCCTGCCTCCAAATAGCTGAATTTCAAAGACAGGAAGTTGCTTCTAAAACATTAGTGGTGGTGTGTGTGGTATTTTTGAGATGGAGTCTCCGAGCTATTTTAACGTCTTATATTTTATATTCTTATGGCTCTTTTACAAAATTGGTGTAAATATGCCCCTGTTCTCTAATACTAAAGGAAAACTAAACAACTGAATTTACACCCAGTGGCCGTTTGGCTGAATATTTCATAAATTACATTTTTCTTCACTTGCCAAAGGAATATTCAGGAGCAATAAGATAAACATGGTTTGAAAAGTATGATATTTACTGCAATTCATTAGTTCTTGCCAGAGCTGGAGCCATTTGACAAAGGTGAGTGCCTTCATGTTGTTTATGGGCAGAGGGATTAAATCTGATATGTATTTGTTCTTGTGTTTAGAAGACTGATCACTCCTTGAAAGAAAATTACACTCAGAGTAATCTGAATTGAATGTGACACTCTCTGCCACGAGAGTTTATTTTGCCCACCGTTCACATACGCATATAGGGCTGCTACGAGATGGAATTGATTCAACGGCAACGGGTTTGTTTTTTTTTGTTTTTGTTTTTTAACGCACATACAGTGCAACACTCTGTCACGATTACCAGTTGCCATCCAGTCGATTCCAACCCATGGCGACCTCACGTGTGAGAATAGAACTGTGCTTCATAAGGTTTCCAATGGCTGACTTTTCGGAAGTAGATCTCCAGGCCTTTCTTCTTAGGTGCCTCTGCCTTGAACCTCCAACCTTTCAGTTAGCAGCTGAGCACAGTAACCATCTGCAACACTGGAGACTCTGTCACTGTTAGCCCACCAAAATCCTTAGGTTATAGCTCATAGAGAGATAAATGGCTGAAAGAAAAGAACACTTTCAACTGGACACCCGTCTTTGGGTTCCTGTTCTGTTTTGCCTTTGGTTTGCTGTCTGGCCTTAGGGAATTAATGTTCTTTATTTCTCCACCTGTGAAAGTTACCCACAAGCAGATTTCAATCTGATACCAGGAAAAAGGCAACAGTTACTAGATATAGAATGGGGATTTTGTAAAAACAGTGAGTCCCCTCTCACAGAAGAACTTAAGCTCACTTAGTTGATCTTTTTTCATGTAAGTTTCTGCACTCACTACCCCGTGATGATGGTAACAGATCAAAAGTCCTAATCAAATCTAAAACACTCTAATCATAATCACAAGTTTTCCTTTTAGCTGTTTATAAAGCATACGTTTTGTTATTGCCAAGTTACACGTGGCCAATCTCTTCAAATTTTCTTTTGCTGCATGAGTAATAAGTCTTATGGCTTTATTTTTCAATTGTAGTAAGCACTGGCTATAATAATTTTATCAGACAGAAGAAATAAATACGTGAAAATTACTTAGAGTCTAACTTTTACAATTGAATTTTATTACGATAAAATCAAGAGAGAAAATTGGGAAATAACTTTATATACCATTTGTTCCGTTTAACGATGTATGGTGAGGAATAATTAACCTTTGGAAGAAAAAGACTAGAGAAGTAAAAATGGCTATATAATAAAAACATCCTTTACTTTAAAAAGAAAAATATCATTAATTTACTCATACTACTATGTGTCTGCTGATTTACCCTGTCAGTAATGCTTAAAACAATTCTGAAACAGTATACCATAATTTCATAATAAACAGAGACAATTAAACCAAAAAAAAAAAATTGCTTTCAAGTCAACTCTAACTCAGGGGGACCCCATATGTGTCAGAGTAGAACTGTGCTCCATAGAGTTTTCAATGGCTGATTTTTTGGAAGTAGATCACTAGGACTTTCTTCTGAGACATTCTGAGTGACTTGACCTTCCATCTTTTTGGTTAGCAGCTGATCACATTAATGCTTTGCACAACCCAGGGACTCCAGATTTTTTATTACCAAACCAAACTAAATCCATTGACTTCGAATTGATTCCAATTCATAGGAACCCTGTAAGATAGTATAGAACTGCCCCATAGGGTTACCAAGGATGTAATCTTATTTTTTTTTTTTTTT